TGCTAAATACCAAATGAGCTAGATGTATCGAAAGTCCTACTCTCATTTGCAACCTTTCTTTTGTTCTTATATTACTGATTTTTCAAATTCAACAAGACTCTTTGCACAAGACCCTGTCATTTAACATAAAGTGGGTCAAGCTGCTGTGCGGAGGGACTTTTATTCTCTCCTGGGATCCTGAGTTTCACAAAAACCAAATGCAAGTGGACAAAATTCAGTGATATGGTATGTGATGTCTGTATGAACACACTACAGAGCCATGTGGCCCAGCTGCACAGCAACTGTGCAATCAATGACCACACTCTACAAACACTACTTTACAAAATTAAACACAGCAACATCTGTACTGTTTTTCACTTGGCCTCCCCAGCCAGAGTGTCAGCAACAGAAAGCGTCTTGGCATTGACTTTGCAAACATACTGCACCGGAGCCCAACAAATCTTCCTGGAATCTTCCCAAGAATAAAACAGAAAATGAGAACCTAACAAAAAATATTTGTTTTGACAAATTTAAGATAAGATACAGAAAGAAAAAATTAATTGACCCCCTAGGGGAAAAGTTTTATCGACATACAATGTTTCTGTGCAATCTGAATACATCACATCCACTGCACATGCGTAACTGATTACAAAAAAACAAAAAAGTCATGACAAATTACACATATATATTGTGTTACTGCATAAATAGTTTATACTGACCCAACTGCATTTACCCTTATCATTTACAGTATTTGTATGCACCATCCATATCACCCTGCAGCTCTCAACTGGCAGCCCACTGAAGCTCACAGGGGTGAGTACCTGGAGGGGAGAAACGAAGGAAAAACTAAGGTTGCTGCTGGAAGAGGTCTTAGTGGTATTTGCAGTCTGTGTGGGTCCTAAGTCCCCAGTATAGTGGCGGGGACACTATACTGTAGTGGGCGCCGTCTTTCGGATGAGACGTTAAACCGAGGTCCTGACTCGCTGTGGTCATTAAAGATCCCCCGCCATTTCTCGAGAAGAGTAGGGAGTTATCCCGGTGTCCGGACCAAATTTCCCCCCTCGGCCTCTACCGTGGCCTCCAAATTGTCCCCATGTATGACTGACTTGCACTGGCCCTGATGGACTGGCGCCCTGTCCAGGGTGTACCCTGCCTTGTGCTCGTTGCTGGCCGGGTAGGCTCCGGCTTCTCGTGACACTGTATGGTATGAACCGACACTGTACGGGTTGGTAAATGACATGACATTTACAGTATTAGTATTAACAGTTTTAATAGATAAGGGAACAAATGAATATTTGTATCTATTTGATCTACATTTGGGAACCCTAAAACATTTTTTTCAAAAGGAAGAAGTTGATATTCAGAATTAAGACTATGAAAAGGGTCTGATACCATTTTTCAGTCCCATAACTTTCACTGCTGTTTGGACAAGACGTGATTTTTTTTATCGTAACTGGACTGATACCTATCAAACCACACTGTTATACCATATGTAATAACGCTCTCGATTACAGCATGGTAAAAGAGGAGCATTATAAGCAATCTGAAATACAAATGTAAATAATACAATTATCCTGGGTAATAGGTTCCTTGTGAATCACTACATATGAATGGTCACCAAATTACAAAGACGGTGCCTCATTGTCATCCCTGAAATCCATTGTTATAGACCACAGATAAATTAGCCTAAATGAAGACATTTTAAATGTTTACTTACACAATGTCTTGAAGCATAAATGGACATGCACTACTCCCCCTGCTAATACAGCTGTCTTCGTAATGCCACTAAAAACCCTTCATTATCTTTGCTGTGAAGTAATTATGAAAAAAAAACAACAACATGACTGGTAAGCTAGTATCAACCATGATTAAACGATGCTTACAAGGCATCAGAGCTCAGTGTTTCCCTAGCTCATCTTCTCAAGTCAAACCATCAGATCATGCCCAAGCTGTTTTCCCATTCAGCACACAAACCTAAGATTTTACTGGCATTTCTTTGGCAAGACTGATACAGCTGACTGCACTTGGAAAGACTAACACCCTCTCTTCCTGTCCAGCTACTGTGTTGAAATGGGTGTCCTCTAAGATCCCTTTGTACACACATGAACAAAGCAGTCCATCGCTTTCCCAATCAATTGGCTCATACATGGCTTCATTTTAACACTATCTAATTCATTATTTTGCCTCTTAAATCATAACAATGTCACTTGGCCTGCTACCATCAGTAATGCACAGGAGCTATCAATCTTATTTAGGATACAAGTGAGCCACATACAGCAAAGACTGAGCCTCTTATAATTTCAGTACAATCTCTGCAATATCCCCAGGGGAAGCCGGTTTGACTCAAAAGCCCTGGTCAGGCCTGGGGTGCAGATGTAGGATTGTTTGTATTATGTTCCAGTGACATAATTCCAAGAGCTCTCAATCCCTCAATGCCCCAAATCAAAAAGGCTTTTATAGATTTTCTGTGAAACCTCACAGGGGAATAACTGAGGTGATCTCTGAGTAAAAACAATTAAAAAGAAACATTTCGAAAGTGTTCTGAAACATTTTTTGTCAAATTTATTTATTCCGTCCTTGGGTAGGGCAGAGTTCTACAAGGATTGCTGCTCATCTCTTTTTTGTTGTTGGGTAACTAGGCTGATGAAAACTCTTACAGAAATATAACATTTTTTTCTGTATTTTTCAGCTAAATTTCCATCATAGATTCTTTGGAATTTTGTGAAGAATTAAACACCTTTGGCCTTACTTTGATAAACTGATGACTGACATATCATCCTGACAGAAAAGACCTGCCTTCCAGTCACTGGAAGATGACTGTCTCATTAAGAAACCGAATGTGCTTTAAATCAGAATTAAATCCTGAACAAGGAAAATGGGGAGAATGTAAGAAATCATCTTCCAAAATCAATCACAGCCTGGCAGGAAATAAGATGCACTAGGTAGAAGACAGTTCCTATAATTCAAGATTCAGTGCCTAAAAAGATACAGTGGTTTGAAACCTGGTGTCCAATTGTGAACAGAATTACAGAATGCAGCAAATGTGATGTATTAGCCATATGATTGAACCTTTAAAAATATGTAACACTGTGTTGCTTGTCATTCTCATTGCATGCTGGCAGCAAGCATTTGTTTAAGACAATGGCAAACTTTATGTTACAGAAGTGGACAGATGATAGCATTTGAGTACTGTATTTGCACTGCAAAATTATTGCTTTGCACTTTTTGTAATCTGTCTCATGCTCTTATGATGATGGAACAGGGATACATTCCCAAATTATATGTAAAACCACAGCAGGAGCATGGGCCAGAAAATGTCCAAGAAAAACACATCCTCAAAGGTGACTATCATTAGTGTGCATTGTTAAGTCATATAGTTTCACTGTTGCTCCCATTCCTAACAGTAAAGTGAGTACTGAGTACAAAACCGGCTAAGAAGCAGACTGCCTTACTAAAGAACAAACTAAAGATGCATTTCAATCTCATTTATTTACTCAACACATGCTAAAGAAAAAGATAGACTGACAATGAAAGATCATTTTGGAACAGTAGAGAAGAAAATCATCCAAAATGATCCTGTATCATGCCATAGAGATAGAGGTACCCAGCTGAATGTTGCTTTCAATTTATGATCATTTATTTTTTTTCTTGTCTTTAATATTGATTCACTAGACACTGCTGTAGATTTCTCAGAGCACAGAAGATGAACATGTCGACACTTGCACAATTATAATTGGTGCACAAATATGGTATATTTGTGGATATGAATATGAATGCATATGAATATGAAATGAACTTTGAGCGCTGCTTTCGTGTGAAATATGAAAAAATGAAACAATCCCCTCCTTCGTCAAGCTCCATTAATTCAATTCAAGATCACGGATTTCATCCTCTGTGGAACATAATAATCACAAAAAAGACAAAGAACTCTGCACCCTGCACATTCTCTCCAAGTCTGCAGCAATTACTCTCTAAATTGTTCCTAAGAGAGTAGGTAAACTGCAAAATACTTCTATCCTGTAACTATTATTACAAATATTAGAATTAAGTTACGAAGAAGCTATTCAGAAAATGAAAGCACACAATACAGATTTTGCATACTGGTTAAATACGTTTGGCACCACTTTAAGTAATTGATCATTCATGACTTGGCAGCGATGCAATCAAGTGACTTTGAACAAATGTTCAAAGGGATAGAGACCTACAGCAGAGAAAGAGAGTGTACTGTCAGTTTGTATCTGAAAGGTTAAAAATGATCGACATCACCATAACTCAAGAAAATCAGCCACTGAGGTCACACTGTGATACAGGACGTAACAATGAGCAGCTGCGTATTTTTCTTTCAGTTAAGGGAAATTAAACTTATATTCTGTATCGATCCCAAAGGTTATGGTAAAACACAGTGGTTCTTAACAATGAACGACGATATTTTTGTATTCTGTTTCAGAATTATAGAATGCAATCATATGAATAAGGATTTAGTTAATAAGGAATAACAAAATGAAAAATAATACAAAATAAACCAAAGACTCTCGATTAGAATGTGTCCGAGTCCTTCTCAAAACAGTGTTTTCACACACGAGAGAATGCAGTGACGGCAGCTTGACAAAATAAGGCTATGTCAAACATACAGTATACTATAGCCCTTACATCATCACTGTCGATTCTGCATGAATCAAAACTGATAATAAAACACGTCTTCGGTACACTCGTACTGTCCAGTTTCATGTAATGTAGGTGTCAGTATCATGTTCACAATTATAGCATAGTTTTTCTAACTCAGCTGCATCACACAGTCCCTTACTGTCACAGTGTTTTGGCGACAGTTTGAAACCTGCTTAGGCGAGGGAAGGAAGGGTACTGAACCGTGCCAGTGGCTTTAAAGTAGGAAACACATCTTCGACTTCCCCTGGCATCACTCAGCTCCTCTGAAAGTGCAGCTGTCATAGTGTACGACAGACTGTCTCTGTTGTCCTGCTTGGACCACAATTTGAACCTTCGGACCACAACACGCATCCTACCTCTAACTGTGTGATCTCTTCCGTGTACCCTGCGCGTGGACGGGTCAGTCAGTCAAAGCAGCAACGGACCAATGACAGCGAGTTAAAGCAGACGCGTCATTAAACATGGCCACCGGGGCGCCGTCGTCATTCTCGGACTCACTGGCTCGGCGCCGATTTGAAGAGCCAATCGGGGCTTTCCGCACCTCCTTGCCGGTGACGTCATTTCCAGGGGCCCAGAGGAAGTGTGATGTGGCTGTGAGCGGAGTGTCATTATGGTAAGAGATTCACTGTTTGCCACCTTTAAAACGATATGTATTTTAAAAATACGCGCATAGATAGCTATTTAAATACTTGTTTTCCAAATTTATCATCCATATATCCTTAAGAAGTGGAATCAGAATTTAGCGCTGTGCGTTTAGTGTCGGGTTTCCGAAGACTTTACTTTTTTTTCCCTCCCTGCACCTTTACTGTTCTCATAGAGAAAACTGCATTAAGGTTCTGCGCTTTTGCATGTGCTTTGCATTTTTTCAAAGAAACGTGCTAAGTTAAAAAGCATAAGATTATGACTGATGTTGAAGAGGCGTGTTCTATCGTGTACGTCCCTTACTGCCCAGACAGCCATTGGACGTCCGGTGGGTTGTAAGTTGTTCACCTGAAAGAGCTTGTCGATGTAAATGTCGCGCTCAAAAAAGTGGGATTTCAAGAAAAAAAAAAAGCTGCTATAAAAAATTTCAGTGCCCCCCTCGAATCCTGTAAGAGTAGAAACATGAATCTTAACATGTTAAAATCTTAACTGTCAACTTTGTTTTGGTTTAATTAAACCATCGTTTATAACCTAAATTAGCGAAAAGTATGTGCATACATTCATGTTCATGTATGTTTTCGCGGTGGTCAAAATATAAGTTACATCCTACCGAACAATGTGATCAGATGGAGGGTCTAACCTGAGCAAGGTACCGCAATCCACAGGATTGTGTTAATTGTGCACATTTAAAATAATCCTTGATTTAAATTCTACCAATTCATATTCTAAAAATGTAACTATGCATGTCATGTCATCCTGTTTGCTTTTTTTAATTCTTTCCCACGCTTCTGTTGCAAGAAGGTTGAAAATGGTCTGGATACAAATACCTTTTTCATAAGTGGGTCATTCAGTGAGAATTCAGGGTTATTTTGAGCATCCCAGATGCTCCTATTATTCAGCACAGAAAGAGCTTTGGACAGACGTTCACGGTATTTCACATAGTGTTTGAGGTACAGTCATTTAAATTGGTCATTTTGGGGTGTTTCGTATCTGACAAGGCTTACCATACCAGAAGAAATGGTGATGTCTGATACTATATGTGCTGCAGAAACATTATAGGCATCACTTTAAAACTCTTTGCTCTCCCCAGGAAAATCTTTGCTGTGAAGTAGGAGTTTAATAATATTAGTTTCAGATTTTTTTAAATATTAACATGAATCTTTAAAACATTCTTTAATTGGTATGTTTTTATATAGACTCTAATCTTTCAGCATAGAAGAGTAGAGTGAGACATGCACTACGACCAACTGTCACAGTGTCAACTGTGTCTGATGGGGTTGGAGGGTACAGTTGCCATTCAGAGCAAGCCGTCCTTTATTGCGTGCAAGGAACCCCAAAACACTCTGAATCTCCATTCCTGGCCTCTGAAAATTAATTGACAACTTTGACTTTCATGCCAGTTATTTGGGTACCCCTGGAGGGGGGATTTCTGTAGCACTTAAAGAGCTGAAGGACGCAACAACTGGAACGTTTGTGAGGTACAGACTTGAGTAGTTCTAGAGTATAAAAGCGTTCTAGTAAATATTAAAAATATTTTTACAGACTTAATCAGCACTACTCTTACTGTTGCCTTTAAAAAAAAAAGGAATTGGAAGCGAGAGAGCTATCTCAGCCAACTTATGTTCTAAAATTCCCATCAGCTCCTCTACTAGTTGGGCTGTTTGTGGAACCTCTCAGTGTTAGTGAGTGTAATGATGAAGATGCTGCTATAAGCCATGGTTCGAGTTGATCAATTTGACTGCTCAAGCGCTTAAATTCAAAGAATGCTTGTCTCTTAATGTAATCTCTTATCACAGAAGAGATATTGAAACCTAATTGTCAGATACAGACAAATTAAGCAGAGGAAAATCGAAAAACTGCCTGGGTTTCACCATTTGAATTTCATTGTGGTGCACGTGAGTGCTCACTTAAAGGGAAATTTCTATCATCTACAAAACAACGAGGCACAGCTAAAATATTAGCGCTCTTGCCAACAATCTGACAGTCCTGTCTCAAGCAGTGGCTGAGGATTTAGTTTTGTTGTGAGAAAAGAGGAAATTGCTAGAAGCCGAAAGCTGCAGACGCTGACTATGAAAATTTCTGGAAGCTAAAATTTCAGTCACCGCAGAACTTTAACAGAGTAAAGTGGGTTTTGAAGTGCACGTTTCTCATTTGGGTTTCTGATATATGATGTACGGTGCCTTAATTAAGAGTGCATGATCGAAAATCGTTACACACTTTTCATGCTTCTGAATGTGATTTGTGAGCGAGGGATTTTGGTTTTCATAATGAAAATGACCGTGAACTCGCATCAAGACTACACATAAATTGCTTATGACAGGTTTTGAAGTTTTGTGCTGGCCTGACAGTCACTGATATATTGTTGAATCTGTTAAAGTAGTGCAATGAACTACCATTTCATATATCAATATTAATACTTTATTGCCATGACAACCAGTTGCATGGCATTTGGTTCGGAGAGATCATAGAAGTAAAGACATAGAAAACAATTATGCAACATAAAGCCGATAACAGACAGCATCCACTCCACACGTTCACAAACCATCCTAAACACACACCAGTAAAATAATTAACAGTGGGGTCTCATAGAATACCAGTGAGCTGTTCAAAAATTTCAAAATTAAAGTGCAGAGTTTATGTATCTCACAGCCTCTGGACAGGTGCTGTTACAGAACCTGGTAGCCCTTGTCTTGATAGACCTGAAGACCTGAGCCGCTTACCAGAGGGGAGGAGAGTAAACTGAGGCTGGGGCAGGGTAAGAAGGGTCGATGAGGATCTTTAGAGCTTTGCGTTTCAGTCCAGAGAGTGAGTCCTCAGAGAGAAGGTGGTATCCTACAGTTTTGGAGGTGAAATACATTACTCTTTCTAGCTGCTTTTTGTCCTGGGCAGAAGGCTTGCCAAACCTCACAGTGATGGAAAAGGTGAAAACACTCTCAATGACAGAGCTGTAGAAGAGGGTAATTAGACTCAGTTGCTCAGAGAAGGATGTGTGATATACTGTAGTGCAGAGATAAAGTCTGTGCACCCCAAAGATAAATATGGCAGCTTTATAGTTTTGCCATGATAGCCTTCGTGAATCAAAACTAGTAGCCAATTCATATCTCTTGAAACAAAATGATGTTTAAATTCAGCAATTAGTAATTAAGGTATGAGGATGTGGACAAGTAAGGAACCACCAGTCTCATTAGCTCAATTAAGGGAATAATTAGAATCAGTTGTTTAAATAATTAAGAAGGTCATGGGAGCCAAGTTTGGAAGCCCCAACCTACAGTATATAAATTTTGGAAAAAGTTATTGGTGCTCATCAATCTGGAAAGGGTTGCAAAACCGTTTCTAAGGACTTGAGGTTCTACCAATCCATGTCAGACAGACTGCTGATGTGACTGCTTATGACCCGGCTATCAACTGAAACAACTGAACAACTGTGTTCATGGAAGGATAGCAAGCAGAAAACCACAGCTTAAAAAAGAAGGATATTTTTCACAAAGAGCACACAGATGATCCACAAAGCTTTTGGAACAATATTCTCTAGCCAGAGCAGTCAAAGGTAGAGTTCTTTGTCCTCAACCAAACATTTATTTTGAGTAGAGGAACCTCATCTGAACCATGAGGCATGGAGGGTTAGGGATGGCTTTGCTGACTTAGGATTTGGACAGCGGGACATCAGTGAGACAGCCAGGAATTCTGCTTTGTATCGGAGGATTCCAGAGGAGAATGGCGGCCATCCATCTGTGCCAAAAGTGGATCTTGCAGCAAGACAACAATCCTATATATCCAAGCAGATCCTCAAAAGAATGGCTGCAGAAGAAGAAATTCCAACCCAGTTTTACAGTGGTCTAGTCAAAGTCATAAAGACCTAAACCCCATAGAAATGTTGTGGCAGGACAGGGAGAGAGCTGTCCGTGCAAGACAACCCTAAGACGTCACAACAGTTAAAGGAGATCTGTGAGGAGGAATGGACTGAAATTCCTCAAAACCAATGTGGGAGACTGATCCACGGTTCCAGGAAATGTTTAGTTGCGTTTGTTCGTTGCAGCTTAAGGAGGTGCCACCAGTCTGAAGGTTTACATACTTTGTCACACATGGATATTGAATGTTGCATCATTTGATGAGAAATGTTGAAAGAGTATCATGTGGCATTTTATTTAATCAGGTTAATTATACCTATTATTAGAACTTAGATGAAGATCTAATAACATATTAGAAATCAAATATGTAAAAATCCTAAGGGGCTCACAAACCTTTTCTCAGCACTGTAGATAGGAGTCTGGGGTTGAAGTCTCACAAAAACATGCTGGTTTTAATTTTTTGGAAGGTTTTCATTTAAGCCCCATACGCTGTATTTTTAAATTTTGTTAGTTTCGTTTCAGTCAACCAGAAGTCGCAATGATTTTGTCCGTGGTTTAATTCTTCCAAACTTGCACTTTTAATACGTTATATTATGGTATCGATATCACCTTGCAAGGTTATATTGGAAGGAGATGTTAACAGCAGTTCGTGCTGTTGTGTTCGTGCGGCTGTGTAAAAAGATTTAATTATGAAATAATTGGCAACTGCTGTACTCAGCAGTATCCAGCTGGCTAATTTTAAATGACCTGAGTGCTGTGTACTGTCCTATGAAATCACAAGACTTGAATCAGATCCCCCATCTTCCCTACTCAGTCTCTCATGTACTCTACTTATAATGGACTTTCATTGTATTAAGATTTTCATTCCACCTTTGTTTCCTTGCCTCTAATTTGGCTTCTGATAACGTGTTTAGTTTGAACGCCAAATAACAGTGTTTAACTCTCCAGTGTCTGTGATGCCTGCGTCACTTTCATCCACCTGCCCACGGGCCGGTCACTGTGAGCCCATGACAGGCAGCTCGACAGCAGGGATCTAGAATTAGCCTGTTATTAGCAAAGAAAAAAACAACAGGACATAAAGCACAACATCTGGAAAATGAGAAGCAAGAATTGTAAAGAACTGTTACCTTGCCTGTGGCCGCCTGTATCTTTTGACCTTGCTCCTAATGGCCAATCCCCAAGACATCTTAAGTACAGTATGTTGCGTAAAGTGTGAACTTAAGGATTTTTTTTCTCCAAAAATGAGGTTGAAGCAGGAGTAGTGTTTAACAGACATCTCCTTGAATCTAGGCTCATCCCAGTCGTGTTTTTAGTCATCAGGAAGAGTTAAATTGTCATGGTTTCTCTGTGCTGTGGTGTGGATGTAAAATGTGCAGCCTGGGAAAATATTGAGAAACTCAACAGCCTGCAGTAAATATAAAACATTCTGTGTGAATTATTTGAGTGGCTCCACACAAGCAAGTGGTCACTGTTCTTTCCAGCAGTAGTGGAACAGAGGTTTAGCTCAAAGCCCCTAGAAAATGAGATGTCTGAGAAACTGAAAATACATGATGATGGTTAAAAAACTAACAAGACATTTCAGAAAAGGCATTGCCTGTAAAGGTAGTAACAGATCTCAAGTTCAAGGCTTAAACTGAAGTGTTTCCTGCCTGCGTACAGTGCTGAGAGCTACCACAAACCGCTGATTTGAAACATGTTAACAGGGTGGGCTTTTCTAATGTTTCACTCTTCAGTCATGTTTCAGTGCCATTACAGCATCCATTATTACTATAGTACAACAACACTGTGTATTTTTTTCTTGAATATATGAAATTAGCAGTGCAGCAGAATAGAATACACATGGAATAGAAAGTGTAGCTTGCTTGTGGGACTCAAGACCACACTTTAAGTCTGCAGTGTGTGCTTGAAGGTTTACAGAACACCCTGATGCACCAGTCACAAATGCTAATTACGGCTGCTTCCTGCTTTGTTGTGCTTTTCCCTATAATGTCACATTCAGTGTTAACTAATAATTCATTAATCTTTGAGTTACACATTCACTCCATATCGATGATGAAATTGAATAACTAGTTATGTCTGCAATCTTGAGAATCAAGAGAATATGCAACACAAAGGTGCCCTTTTTATTTATATACAAGTGAAAATAAATCTACAGTCATAGATAAAATAAATTTACAAATATGACTGCACCTTAGGAGCCAGCTTAGTCAGAATACAGGTTTCCAGCAGGATCCTGTGCTGTAGAGGAAAGGAAATAGTATGTGGAACAGAAAAGAAAGACAGAAACCTAGAAATTAAGGTGAGGACAAAGACTATAGGATGATGAAGATAAGGTCAAGGAAAGAGGAGAGGGAAGAAATTTGAGAAGGAGTTAGAAAAGAGGTCAGAGGGCAGGAAAAGAAAGTACTTTTCTACAGTGAATTGAACTGTTTATACCAAATGATATAAAGCTTGTTGCTAAGAAGCATTGGATTTTGTAATGATACCTAAAGCAATACAGGGAGATTGAGGCATTACAGAGAGAGTTCAAAATTAGGTTGTATTTGGAGAACCAAGACTTTTGTCACAGAACTTTTGAAGCTGCCTGACAGATGAGGTATTGAAAGATTGTCTAATCATGGAGTATAACAGGAAAATGATGCAGATTGCTCATGGGACAGTTATTTTATAGTTTAATGGACGGGAATTTTGAATAGTTAACAAAGGTAAGTGCCTCAGAGAGTTGTAGTATAGTATGAGTTTTATAGTCTTAGTTGTAATGTCCAGTTATGAGTTCCAGGGTTACCCGAGTGATTAAATGAAAACCCAGAGAATTGGCTATCCAAGACAGAACAATCTGGAAATAACATTATACAGATCTTTACCTCAAGTTACAAATGTAGAAGCATTAGATAAAAATAACACCTATGGAAGAACTCAAAATCCAGTAATTGCCTATTGAACGCAACCAAAACTAGACTCCACTAATCAAATATCAGGGGCTACTGAACCACTTCCATGCCCTCAGTCCACAGAAGGCCTTGTATTCAAAGATGGAATCACTGAAACACAGCTGAGACACAGCAACTCTAAGCTGCCACAAGCCCTTTTTAAACCCTTCAGCCTAGTGCTGAGAGCCAGGAGTTTCCCTGCAGTCTAGAAATAAGGACTAATTATGCTCGTTTATAAAAGTGGAGAGACAGGTTTGATCTTAGTAACTCCCAGGGCATCTGTGTGAAAACTAACCTGGGCAAGGTGTTCCGCAGTATTATCGATGCCAGAATGCTTGATAAGGAAGGCCAGCATAGAGTTCTGAGTGAAAGTCGGATTGCTTTTTTCCAAACCCCACTCATATGATCACCTTTTCACCCTGCACAGACCAAAACTAAAGGAAAGTATCTGCCGCCTGCTTTAGTGTTTTCAAAAGAACATTAGAACAGATACAGACAAGAGGAAGCCATTCTGTTCGTCTGTCCCGTTTGGTAGTAGTTAATTGATCCAAGGATCACATCCAACTGCTTCTTCAAAGAATCTAGGGTACGGCTGGGAAGCTTATTACACAGTACCAATACACTTTTGGTAGAGAAGAGCTTCTCATTCTCGGTTTTAATTGAACTTCTACGAATTTTGCCCCTGTGTCCTCTGATTTATGTTTCATTGTTCATTCTGAAGCAGTCCACTGGGTTGACGTTATCAGTGCCTTTCAGGATTTTGAATACTTGAATCAGGTCCCCTCTGTTCAAAACTAAAAAATGTTAAGTTCCTTCAGCCTTTCTGTGATGAACATTTCCTTAATCCCTGAAATCTATCTAGAATCCGCCCAGAGAAGAGCAGCTAGAGCAGCAATATCTTTTCTATAATGTGGTGACCTGGCTGTCCAGAGAAGGCAGGCTTGGTGGCCACAGTCTGGACATAGACACTGGGTGACACAGGCAGACCTGGCTGTCAAGAGAGGGCAGGCTGTGCTCCCACTGCCAGGAGAGAGAAACAGACAAGGACACACAATCTGCTACACTGCAAGACATGCTCCAGGAAAAGACAATATTCCCTAAATTACATATCAAATCCCAGAATTCCCACTCCTACCAGAATCAAAACAACTATCAATCTTATGGGGGGCAGACTGAGGGACAATCAATACTGAGGGACAGAGAGTGAACCTCTCCAATACTGTTCTTGTTCCAGATGTTGTAAATTGTTATTGTAATTGTAAATTGTTATTGCTTTGGCAGCACTGTAATTCTTCGGTAATCACCCATGCTCAAAAAGACATTGATGTGTTAGTGTCCAAATTGATAGACAGTGTGCTATATAAGATCGCATTCAAATAAGTTGAAGAAGGAGACTGGCTCAGTTTGGGGTGAGTTTAAAATTGTATTTTTTGATTGCGTTGTTTGGTCAGAGCATACTCTTTTTAAATGTTACATTTTTATTTTTGAAAGAGGTGTCCATTATTACAATCAGGTTAGGGGAGAGTGAAGTCTCTAAGGTGATATCTTATAAATAACACTTTGTGTGGTACATGAAATATTTTTTTTTTATTTGCGTGGGATGTCTGAAAGAATAGTAGAACTACACATTTGACTCTCTGAGGAGTCTGAAATGTCCACTTTCATGTCAGGACATCAGGCAGACCGAGGAAATTTGTATTTTTTCACACCAGATATTCTGCAAGTTCTGCTGCCTTTCTAATCGACTTTTATTTGATTGACAGGTTAACTATATTACAGTCCTGCTTCAAAGGACATGCAGATTTGAATAAATATTGCTTCCAAGGAAGCGTTCACAATAGGAGCTACAGTGTTACAGATTATTTAAATCCAAAAAGATCAAGAGGTCCTTGAGGGGAGAGTTCTTAGAAAACGCATGTACGAAATGGCTAAACGTTGGAATCTGTTACCTTTCGTGTAGTATTTCTTCTAAATTACCCGTCATGTATGGGACTCGCAAAGCTATAGGTAACTGCAGCTGAACCGTAACGTGTATCATCAGCTGCAACAACAGCTTATTGGCAAGACTAATAGCGATGGCAGAAAAAAAGGGTAGCAGATCTGCGTAACGAGCCTCTGGAGACGGAGAGCAGATGACGGCTCATATCAGCCAGTTGAGCACCATTCATCACCTGGAAGTCTTTAACGAACGCTGTGGCACATCTGTTCCCACTGGGGCTCCGAGGGCGTCGCGGACTGAAGGGAGCCGAGAGAGGGGGTCCGCGGCGTGGGCCCCTCTGACCGAAATCCCCATTATATCCGCGGCCGCTGTACAGCAGGCTCTTAAAACACAAGGGCCGCGCTTTCCCTGCGGCACCAGCGGAACAGAGCCCTGGCTATGAGCAGCTCTGGAGAACCTGCCGGGTGCTTTTATTAAACTGGACTGTTTTTAAAAGGGTATTCTGTAGCTCGCAAAAACATTCCGTTTTCCCACTGAAACAAAAGTCAGCTCACCGCTCATAGGAAATGAAAATAAACCAGAGCACTGCGGCTCCCTTCCCTGCCCAGCCGCCTGTCTTCCTCAGAGCTCAAAGGACATTTCTTATTTAGGCTGAACCCAGCCAGACACGGTTCATCTTTTCCGCTGATCATATTGTTGGTGAAATATTCCTGTTTGCTGCAAATGTTTCAGTGAGAAGGTAGTTTAATTTTATTTTTTTTTGTCCTCTACACCCCTTCAGCCAGACACTTACTGTAAAGGACAATACTGGTGCCCTGATACTCTGTGTGTTAATGGGTAACCCCACAGTAAAAAAAAAATGTAATAAGTGTTGCCCGGTTTATTTAATCTAATTCCTTTTTTATATTTCTTTTTAAATGCAGGAAAAAAATAAGAACAGCAACATGCAGCACTGCATAAGAAAATTATATGTGCAGCGTCTTTGCATTGATCGACATGGTGTTAGTGCCATGCAAGGTGTTTCTGCATCAGCGGAATGCTTTAATGCTTTTGCATTAGTGACACACGCAGCACCTTGGCATTAATGGGCCTCTGCACTATAAACACATGCAGGGAATTAGCCTTTGAGATTGGCCATGGCTTACCTGTATCTTTTCTTCTTTCAGTCTGCCATATTCAACTTCCAGAGCCTGCTGACAGTCATCTTGCTTCTCATCTGTACCTGTGCTTACATCAGATCCCTGGCCCCAAGCATTCTGGATAAAAACAAGACTGGGTATGTACATGCCTTAGCCCCATATGTTCCGTGTTGAAAAGGTTTGTAAGAAATGCTGTGATTATATTTAAAATAACGTTGATTAAATTGTATATGTACTGTATGTGTTCAGTAAAGAAAAAAAGAGTGATTTCACTTTCCATTTAAAAATATATTCATTTTTGTAGCCTTTTAGCTTTATGGATGTGTAGAGAGGAGCAAATTAGTTTAATGAAGAGGATCGCCTGCCAATGTAGGCGTTGGCCAACACCAGTTAGATTTGATTGGTAAATTTAACAGAATAATTCCTAGAGCTGGGACTCGAAGTTAGCATGACCCTTGCCAGGAATAAATGGCTTATTGGTGATGGATGGAAGGAGCACTGTATATTGGCTGTTCCTGTATCATTTACCTTGCGTCATTTTAATCAGTTTTTATTACAGATTGCTAGACGACAAGCTTGGTTCCCTCTCACTTAACTTAAGCTGTAGTAATAACAAAATTGTTATAATAGTAAAAGACACTACTGGATGTTTTGACAAAAGTTTTTATTGATGGTGCTTGAAGTGTTTTATTTTTTTTAGCAGTTTAATAGTATATATTTAAGAAATTTTCATTTCCTTCTATAAGACGTTTTTGGTAACTTTGTACGGTAGAGAGATATTCGCATGTAAACGGAGGGCAGAAAAGTAGGAAAAGGGTTTTATTATGTTTTCAGGGATTATTATTCTGTCTTTGCAACTAGACATTCCTTCTCAAAGGTGTGTAGTTTAAATAACTAAATCACATCCCTTGTCATATCCCATAATCAATAGCTTTAACGTTCTGGCTGTTTTTGCAGGGTCTTGCAATGCAGTTCCCACCGGCTTCCACTGCTGAGACAAAGTGAATTATGACACACTATAGGATGTGTTAGTCAGCATTACAGCTTTGCCTGAAGTAACCTGTGTTGTCTTCTTTTTAGTAAGACCTTTACTGAAAGCAAACCGTTTTCTCATGTTATAGCCAATGCTGATTAGAGCATAACTCCAGAGAATTTACATTTCTGCCTTACACCATCTTTCAAGGTAGCGTGGGCACCTCACGACTTGAGCCCGCAACCAGTACTAACCACTGCACTGCACTGGCCTGTTGACCTCCATCATGGTAGATTGTTTCTATGAGCCAGAGCCCTCACCTGGATAAGGGGCTGTCCAGTAATGGGTGGATGGAATTCATCACAGATTAAAAAAAAAAAAAATAAAGTAATTTCTTATGTTAAAATAAAAAGCATTAGAAAACATAAATCTTCATCTTATTACTATAATTTGCTTTGCTGGTAAAATCTTTTCAGTTTAACATTCTTTAACATCAGAGTTTTAAGATGACTAACCTTGAGTAACAACTTAGCACAAGAATGTAGTATTTCTCTTTGCTAGTCAGAGACAAGCTTCTTAATAGCTTTGAAGGTTAATAAAGGCTCTCTCTGTGTTAGTGGAGGTTAGTTTCTCCATACATCTCCACACATCTTGGTTTTGTAACAGCAAACCATAGATCAGACCAGGACATACATAGAAAAACATCTGTGTGCTTCTTCCAACACACCATCCAAATGTCGCATTTCATCATCTTCTCTGGATTGTAGTCCTGAGACCTACACTTAATTTCAACTTGTGTCCCCAGGTTCGGTTTTTCACTGTTCATTCCGAGCAAGTCCGCTGGGTTAACTATATCTTTATATCTGTATATTTTGGGGTAGGTTGCAATGTGCACCACCCGGTCCACTTCGTCTGTTTCTCCAGCAGCACCAGACTTGCATAGCCATTGAGATTGCGTCCTCTTCAGAGCACTGTTCCATCGCTGTCCACTCCGTCATGGCTACTTGAACCGTTTCCCATCTGTGGACAGCATCGAGAACCATCTGTTTCTTGTCGCATCTTCCAGGGCTGAGCACCGATACTAATGCTGTTGTTCTCGTCCCTGAGCAGGAGTACAGAATTGCTCAGAGTGCCCACTCCAGGACATAAAAGAAGGCCATAATATGTCTCTTTCAGCCTGCTCGTGTTCTTGCTTCCTATTAGGGGCTGTAAATGCCTTTCAGGAAACAGACGGGCCTGCTGTTTGAAGGTTGATTGTTGTTACTGAACCAACTTGTTGGCAGTAGATGATAACATTGTTTTGCCTTCATTTGTTAGTTTTGTTCGTACAGTCTGCTAATTAGATTGGAAAATTGTGCTCCTTGATCATTGTCTTCCTCATTTATATTGGGCAGCGCAGCCAGCTGGTCATCCCCAAAATAAAATGCAAGAAGGCACATTCTCCTTCACACTGGCTCCACTTGAGTCCCTTTACTCACCCGTTTGGGCTCTTTGTTCTTGATTTGTCATTAAGTAAAGCAGTTTAATATGGTTTCTTAGATTTTCCCATATTTTAGAGAATGTTCCCAATTTAGTTTCCTTATTTAACACTTCTGCTCATACATTTTTACAGCCTTTTAATTCTGATGAGAATGATGATGAAATTAAGTTAAAAAAATTGCGGAAACATTGTCTGTGGAGTCTGAAGATTCTTACTGGTACTGTAGGTACAGGATGGAGCTGAGTTTTTATGAGATGACGTGGAAACAGTGCAGCCTTGAAATTGATTAGGACATTTGTGTGCCTTAGTAATCCTCAGTTTTCTGCATATTTTAAAGATTTTTTTAAAGTATCTGTCATTTTCCAGCATTGACATCCTTCTGCCAGTGCTAAAAAATATTTAATTTCACGGTCTCAGTGCAGCTAATACTTACAATTAAATAATAAGAAGTCATAGTTTGTTGCGCTAAAAATAGCTTTTCCCTCATTTCAGTGTATTCCCCAAAATCCATGAATGTAAATTACGTTGTTTGAAAGTTTCGGAACTGCTGAAATGCCATGCTTTATCTGTGCTCAAGATTTATATATTATCTGAGTTGGTTTTTATCTATTTTGTCTAACCCTCTTTTTTATGATTGTTTAGAACAGGTTATTAGAATTGCAGTGCAATATTATTTATAATCTGACTGTGCCTGCTCTCCTTTCTTGCTGAGAAGGTGCTTTGAGCTGTACAGGAATATGGTCCTGAAGGGGAAAGTGAGATCAAAAGTTTTAATTTTATAATCCATCTGAGTCTAAGACATGCGTTCCTGCACTGTAGTTCAAACAAGTACAACTGGGGAAGATGGGAAATATGCCTTAATCTCGGACCGTGTTTTACAGTACCGACTATGTTGACTATTTTAGCAGACTCTTTTCAGTCTGAAGCTGGTACTTATAAGCGGGCTCATTTTACCTTTAAATTAGTTAATTTCTAGACTTTCCGCTTTTTCAGTAGCTCAGAAAGTAACCCGATGCTGCAGAAGAAAGTGATTGGCTCCAGCTTTCGTCACTGTGCCTTTCCTGGCATTTAGTACAAACTCATTCAAACAGCAATTGTGTTTTATTGTGTCCAAACAAAGCTCCTGTGTTTATCAGATGTAGGCAGTTAAGTGCTGGTAATCAATGAGGTATTTTCAGTGTCCAGGACTGCTGAAGTCCTACACTATCAGCTGCTACAGCTGCTCCGTTGTTCACGCAGGAAATAAAGGGAGGTTTATGCCGAGTGCTCCACATCGGTCTGGAGTATCTCACTGATATACGGACCTCTTGCTCTCACAACACAAGTACGTTTCACTGGTGCCCTTGCCTTATCCCCCAGGACACCAGGGGGTCGTTTCTTCGGCAGTACCTCATCTAACCTCTTCATTATATCTCAATTTCAGCTCTATTTCACAATGTGAAAACACTTCTGTTTGAAGGTGTTTTTTGGCAACCCGACACGTTTTAACGGAGTTTTTCGTTGAACGTTTTAAACACTCTGCAAAGGACTGGCAACTTGTCTTCATTGCATTTCTTTTTGATTCTGTGAGCTGTTCTGCACAAGCCGACTTCAGTTTGTTCATCTCTCATTGCTTATACGTGTTTTCTTTTTACTGAAAACTTGTCTTCATAAAAGTTTAAATTGCAGAAATCATTCTATGCTTATTATCTAAAATTGTGACTAAGGGTTTCGTGCAATGAATGTTTTCTTCTGGTATGGAAATGGTTCTTCGTACGGCCATCTTTATTTCCTTACAGTACTGGCACACTGCTCTTCACTAACATGGCTTTTGAAATGCAAAGGTTAAATTAATTATGGGATATTTTCGAAACATAATTATTGCTCTGAAGGCATTATGTACCTTAGCCATTAAAGAGATGTGGGCTACCCTGACACATAGCAACTTTATCCCCCAAAGTGTTTGTTGAAACTTCTTAAGGAAATTAATTATGCTATGTGTTACACTACTCCAGGAATATTGATATATATATATACTGTATAGTAAGCAGTCTTAAGTATGGTCACTCTATAGTAAATATTGACCCAGAATGATCCTCTTAGATGTAAGTTTCAAGAAATTAACTCATTGAAAGACTGAAACTACAACTTTCAGGGAACTAATCACCCAGCTGTGAGTAAACCAGTTGAGAACATGTAAAAAGTGTAATGGAGGGGGTGATTTTTATGTCATTTGGTGCTGCTCTCCACCTCCATGCATCTTAGGCTTGAATGGCTCGGTCTTAAGAGAGGACAGGAGAAGGTGGCAGGCAAGCACGGGCGGAGATTATCTTAAATCGTGGGAAGCACGATGAGGTGCTAAGGAAGTCCAACCCAAAGGGTAAGCCCACAAAGATCAAGTGTCAAGGCAGGAAGCATTCCTTCAGCCAGTAATTCATCGGTATTGCTCCTAATGAAGCACACAGCACAGGAAAACTATGATCATAATGGCAGTGACCTCTGATGGAGTTGGCAGTAATTTACTCTTAGCCCCCCGCGGCGTCATTGCCTTCGCTTGCGAACCGTGAACTGTAAAAACAATCATTTTGAAATAACGGCAAACTATACGTCGTAACGACCCTGACACATATATCTGTATGTTTACAGTGTGTTCATTTAGAACAGGCTGAACTGCAGCGCACAGATAAGTGGCTAAATAAAGAAAATGATTTTGTTTTGTTTTTTACTTAGCTTTAAAAAATCATTTGTTTCGGGTTGGGTCCTTCAGCTGAGTGGAAAGAGATGTTAATGTGCTCAGCCACTGTCGGCGTGATGCTGAAATGCATAGATGACCATGTCTTCAGCAGTGTGATCATCATTGTGCAGAGTGGCTGAAAATGATATTAACTAAAATTCTTGACCATCTTTTAGTTTGTCCAGTGTATACTTGCATGTTTTGTAGGTAATGCAGTAAAATGATCATGTAGATGTGTGCAGCAAAAGGGGGCTGATTTCTGTGCAGATACTGATTTATTTGCAGGTGTTGCTTTCTGGGTCTATGGCATGGTAAAGAATACCATGTATTCTTTTACTCTTCTTTCTACTGTTTATGCATATGTTTTCTAACCATAATTATACGCATTGAGGATATTGGTGGGCACCTCTAACAAATCTAATATTTCCATTAAATTTGTTAGCTGTATTACATACATTTGTAGTAAAATGTCTTTATCTCGCTGTTATTTGCAGAGTTCTGGGAATATTCTGGAAATGTGCAAGGATAGGTAAGATATCTTATCATTTTTTTTATTATAAAGACTTGCATAACAATCACATTTTTCCAGTCAGTTTCTTTAATAATGTAGACTTAAAGATATATTAATATAGACTCTGATAATGCACTGTTAAGGAAGTGTAAAAATGTAACTGATTTTACATGACTGTCACATTATGCAGATTATATAAATCTTGTTCTGACCAAGATAAGCTAGTTGGCTCAATGACAAGTTATGGTTAAGAAATAAAACTTCTAATTGACATCATGGTTTGTGCTCATAACATTTGACACCAGTTGCCTTCTAAATGCAAATGCTGTATGTTTGCATCTTGTACAATTAAGCATGAATGCTTCAGAAGGTCTTGTATTATCTTGTGCTTCTGGTTATCATTCTAAAGCAACTCAAAAGCTTAATAATATGAGTGAATAAACATATTCTTTCAAGGTTGCCATCTAAACATCCAGACAACGCCACCACCAACACCACCTTCTGCTGCCAAAATAAGCCCCCAACTCGCACATTGGGGCTTGTTTTAGCTCTTGTCTCAGTCATTCTTCTGCTCGGTATATACTATCGAAGAAACCAGAGATCCCCGCAAGATCACGTCTCTCCCTCTTTGAGAGCTTGAAATGGCAGAAGCCTTTTTAAATTGCACATAACCTGGACAAAGAAACCTGAATGATGGGACCCAGTTGAGCTGACTTCAGTGTTGGAACAATTCTAGCTGGATTCTGAAGTGATTTTTTTTTATATCTAACAAAAAGCCTGTTGCTTAAAAACAAACATATCTTTGCCTGTTTTGGATGAATGTTCTCAGGGTAACACACCCTAAAAACTCATTCATAAGTAATTGCAGTCCTATAAACATTAAACCTGAAAGTCATTTAGAAACTGATATGGCGGTAGCTCAGAGCTGTTTGACACCAAGCTTTCTTTGAGACCCCTGGAAATGTCTTGAGAAAGACACTTGATCTGAAAGGTCTTTGTTTTTCAAAGTTTATTATAAAACGCAGACGTAAGACTACAGTTCCTCTAGAGAGATGCTCTCTCTTCATAGATTCCATGTTCTTTTAGGTAAATCATTGCCGATGATGAGATGGTACCAAATGCAGTCATTTAAGTCCTTTCAGCTGGACTTGTGTTTTGTAGTTATTACCAGGCCTGTCATTGGAAGGCATATTTAAATTGTGATTCAGCCTCAGCAGTTTGATATATTTCTATGTGATTGTTAATTGTTTGAAGTGTTTGTCATGCCGGCTTCCTCTTCCATGTAAAAGGTTCAAAAGACAATTTCTCGTAGTTGGAGGAAAGGCAGTCTAGCTCTTGGGAAGTGCAGTATATCGCTTTCCCGGCAGTAACCATCTTATAGTGCAGATATTTACTTGCCCTGTCTGTCCATTGGTTTCCCTAATCAGCTTTCTGAATCCCTTCAAGAAGCTCGTCAGTAAGTGAGCATGAAGTGTAAGAAACTGTGCAGAAGTAAAAATATAAAGCAAGATGCATAACACAAAATTGTATTACTAGTTAATGCAGATTACGTTATACAGGGTTTCCCGAGTCTTAACCAGCAGCCATATCACTTCAGCCAGCAGCCATATCAGTCTGCAACTGCTGCTGGAAGAGGTGTTAGTGGGGCCAGCAGGGGGCGCTCACCCTGCTGTCCATGTGGATCCTAATACCCCAGTGTAGTGACGAGGACACTATACTATAAACAGGTGCCGTTTTTCAGATGAGATGTAAAACCGAGGTCCTGACTCTCTGTGGTCATTAAAAATCCCAGGGCGTTTCTCTAAAAGAGTAGCGGTGTCCTGGCCAAATTTCCCATTGGCCCTTACCAGTCATGGCCTCCTAATAATCCCCCTCTATGGACTGGCTTCATCCCTCTGCTCTCCTCCCCACCGAGAGCTGGTGTGTGGTGAGCGTTCTGGCGCACTATGGCTGCCGTCGCATCATCCAGGTGGGGCTGCACACTGGTGGTGGTGGAAGGGAGTCCCCATTACCTGTAAAGACCTCTGAGTGGAGTGTCCAGAAAAGTGCTATATAAGTGTAAGCTATTATTATTATTATTATTAACAATTGATGGCTGAAATTCTACGGGTTTGCTAGGTTATTTTAAACTACGGTATAAGGAGATCTATAACTGAATTTAGGTTGCACTTTTCATTTCAAAGCACTTTAAGCGCCTACTTCATCCACCACTGATGATCTGCCCCACCAAGACAATACACAGCTGCCCAACCACAGAGCAGATCAGTTAAAATGAGCTTGAATGAATGTGTATAATTGTATGTTATCTCTTGCAGGTGAACGGAAAAGCCCGTACGTGGCTTTATGCTGTGTGGTTATGGCCTTCAGTATTTTGTTTGCACAGTAGCCCAGTATAGGCCAGGACATTGGGTGTGAGGGGACTGCAGCTGGAGATGGGAATTCAAGAAGAGAACTCAGCAGGCAGCAGACGAACAGTGGAGACTTCACCAAAATCAGCATTTAGAATCCCCATCGCAACACGTCTGATGCTGTCCTTTCTGTGCTTTGAATAACACCGAATTGGGGTTGTTGCGGAACGCACTGTGGTTGAACATCTGACCAAGGACATAGTGAGGCACATTATGTGCATTCTTAATTGATGAACCTCTCTAATTTTACAGAACAATTGGATTTGTTTTTATTTAATTTCTGTAATTATATGTTTGAGTTCTCCCAGACCACTGCATTGTCAATAAAATGTTTGGATGAGTACAGCTCTATATTTTTTTCCCTGTTGAAAAAGTCCTTTCAGCAATATGCTGCAGTTCTATTTAAATACCTCAGCAAGGCTGTGCTTAATCTAGATCATGAAAGATGTATACCAGTAATGTGGTGTGAATATTTGTCATTGACTTCCAACAATTGATCTTAGGTTTTTCTTTGCCTTCCGTGACCAGGAGTTAATAAAACCCCATGTTTTACAAAAATATTTTTGAGCTGTAGTGTACATCAAATGCTTGTCTCTTTTCACTTTTCTCCTTAAGTTTAGTTTAGTCTTGATACCAACTTTTTGTCCTCGCAGGAAAACATTTACAATAAAAAATGTGGTATGTGTACCTGTTTTGTAATTTGGTGTCAAATTGTTAATTGCATATAAGCAACGTTGTAATACATTTCTAGTGGCAGACTCACATCTAAGTAGCGGATATTGTCATAAAATGGATCAGTTCGTGAGGTCCCTCACTCACTCAGTGACAGCAGTCTGGAGGCACTAGGTGATGTCAAATAGGAGTGCTCCACCTGGCACTGTACCTCCTCTCCATTGCTGCAGAGTTTGTCGAAAATGTTCTGATAGGTGGGCGGAGCTTGAGGAGTCTCTTCCTCATTTTCCTCATATAGATTCAGGGGTCGACACTGCGAGCGAAGATCTCAAGGCACAAATTGCAATTCCAGAATGGGTTGGTGTTGTATATGAAAAAATAATAAGATGTGATTCTGAAATTAAAATGAACATAAAATAAAAATTGCTAAAAGAAAAATACATCACCGGTACTTATTGGGCATTCTTTATTTTGGTGCCCCTTTTCACATTATTAATCCAATCTCGAATTAAAATAATCTTGAATTCCGGCAGGTGAAGAGCTGATTACTTAACGGTGAGACTGGTCTAAGACTAAAGCTAGTACAACCAACAGTTACTGTAACATCAAACTATGACATAAATGGCTCGTTCTTTTGATAAAATGTCATGTCTCAAAATGTGCATGTGGAGTTCCACTTGCTTTGGCTCTATTAAGGAGAAAGTCTTGAAATTTCACCTAATGCATTTTATTTGATCATCTGAGGATACGCACTTCAATCAGATGCCTTCTCTTACATTGTGATGCATGAATTGAGGTGAATTTGTGGAAAGTACTGTAAAGTATTCATGAAGTATAATTTGTCATACATTATCATAATGTGAGAAGTGTCTAACCGCTACTTAAGACATGCATTACTGTTTAAGATATTGTTCAGCACTAGATTTGTATTGAAATGAAGCTGACAATTTTATCCTGCACTTTTCAGTCCTGTTATGTACTATTATTTGTTGTAACTTTACATCAGTGTCTTGGCAATGGTCTTTGTGCAGATATTATAATATGAAAAGCTTTTTTTGCTGAAAGCATTACAAATTTAGCAAATGAGCCTCGAAAAGAAAAGTGAGGTTGTTAAAGTTGTTCTGGGGATTATTCCAGTGTTCATTGCAAAGGTAAAACTATTCAGTCAGTTTCTCCTGCGTGTTGGATTATTCTTTCAACTGTTGTTTTGTCTTTTATCCATGCATCTTTATCCAGGTACTGTAACAGGCACCACCCTGTTAAAACTATCATTCGAAACCTGAAGTCCATGTTGGTTGCAGATCTCTGAAGCTTCATTGCCGTTAGATTGTACATGGTGCCCTCTTAATTGAAGCGTGTATTTTTTGTGAAGCATTCTCCGCAGGATTTTCTGTGCGGGCGTGCAGCACATCCTCTCGTAGATCTCAGTATTAATCTGAATCTGAATGACCTCTTCTCTTTGAAGCAAATTTTATAGCAGAAGAAGCTGCCTAAATTCCAAGAGTGGATATTCCCGTGGTTCCAGGCTATTTTGATGTCCTTTGAAAAACGGCGGGACTGGTGCTGAATGTTAATTCCCAGAGATCTCCTGTTTCCAGCAGGAGAGGCCACGTCTGTCTTCTGAGGGCTTGCTAAAATGAGCTGCAGGCGGAAGGACTGTAGCCAGCAGTGGGAACCATCATTCCCAACGCCTGGTTTCATTCTCCATGTTCAAAAACAACAAGGGGCTAGATAAGGAGTGCTCTGTTTAGTTCATTCATAGACTATTTAGCAGGGCATTTGCCTGATAGTGCACTTCATTGTTAAGCAAAGGCCAAGTGCATTAGAATGAGGTTGGTGGCGATTTTACTTATGCATTGGAAAATGTTCCTCGCGTCTAGTGTCTCTGTGTGCCACATCAATGCCCTGTTTTACTGAGGCAAAAATGACCTTGTACGGTATGTGCACTGGGTGTGCAACTCGCCGGTGTCTGTGGATTATACGCCTTTCCTTGCATACCCTGGAGGAGAGAAGGAGAACAGCACCAGCTAAACTGAGCCTGGATTTCTTCTAAGGTTGTCTTGTTTTGTGAACATCATGAATCTAATGTTGGCATGTGTATTTAGTCAAAAGACAAAAGGGATCCCCGTGGCATTTCTTGAGAGTCCAAATGCTTTACAAAATGTCAGTGCTCCTGTTTAAGATTGGTAATTCGGGGCGGTTTTCTGGAATTTGATCAAATTTTGTGATTTCTCCAACCAATACACTTTGGGAGTCCTTCGTTGTCAACGTGCAATCATAGGGGATAACTTAAACATTAAGGAAAAGGGGAGAAAAAAGACTAATACTGTAAATCCTTGGCTTAATTCCTCTTATACTCCATAATTACTCCTTCCCTTAAACCTCTAGTAATTGTATCTGCAGTAATTCAGTCAGTAGAACAGGATTCATTCAGATCATCCCCATTATCTATACTGGGAATTCTGTATGTGAGGTGACAGACATACTGCATCTTTCGTATGCAGCTATTTCTTTTGCAAATCTGCCTCTGTGACTTGTGATTTAGAATTAAAATTTATGTTGCTGCTGTTGATGCTATAAAAACGCACTTACATGTAGGTGTTGCAGTTTAAAATTGTCCTTACAATTGTTTTTCCTTCATTATGTATTACATAAATTCCACTTGTATACATTGTTGTATGAAACTATACTCTGTTTCTGTTTGCATTTAATCCGACCTACTGCACGCTGATACATGAGCAGGTGGAGCAGTTTCAAGTGTCTTCTTCTGTTAATCTAGTTGTTAATCAGCGAATATTGGCACTTATACATCCTCCATGGAGAAAAACATTACACATGTACAGTACAGCTCTTTTCAGAACAGGACAAGTGTGTGCCAGTTTCTTGTGAGATCAGTTCAAACATAATACATCACATGAGTGCTTGAATTGTACTGGATGAGTTTAAACTGTCATTCTTAATTTATTTTACAGTGATCTTGAAATCATAAAAAGTGGAGTTTCCTTTGGTGCTAAAGAAACAGTGTAATCATTCCACTCTTTCTTTAAGCAGCTATGATAGTTTAAGCGCTTTACAACAGGGTTCCACTGTGTACACCTGCGTGACATGAGTTAATGTGAGAGTTGAATAATAGAGAAAATAACAGGTAAGGGGTGAACGCTCACGGAAGTACCACAGGGATCTGTGGTAGGACCACTGCTCTTCCTTTTCAAACTCTTCCTTAGTTAAGTGTTAATTAGTTTACTAATTAAAGAATATTTTTTTGCAGATGATACCACAACAGGGTGATAAGTAAATACTAGAAGTGTAAGAAAATTCAAACCGGTTTAGATTTCTAAAAGAGAATGACATGCAGTGTAGACGAGAACAGAGTTTTGCATGCATGTGACAAAAACAAACTAAAAAGTAAATGAAAAACAGTTTCTAGAGGTTACTTATCTAAAAGTCTTTTATGTTAACATTATTTACTGTACATCTTATAATCTAGAATATATGGTGAAGGCAATAAAAAGGGTAGTTAAATGTAGAAATTAAATCAATCAATGTTATGTTGAAATTGTATAATGCACTCTTCCAAATTTGAATATTCTGTGGAATTTATAGAAACCATATTATAGAAAATACATTGCTGATCTGTATTTAGTTTAGGGAGACTAGAGGGGATATATCCCCTCTCTGAAAAGAAATGCTTTCCACTGAGAGGCTAAAAATGTACAGTAGTTTTCTTAGCCTTGAAAGAAGAAAACTACAAGGGGACTAATACAATTTAAAGGCATTGACAAAGTCAATCCAGAGTCCCACAGTGAAGCATGAACTAGAGGACACACGTGGATGTGTTTTTAAAATGGGTGGAACTTCCAAAAGGTACAGCGGAAATTTGGTTTCGAAGGAGATATCTTGGCGTCTTTCAAGAAATAACTGGATGGGATTCTTGAATCAGTTAGCTACTAACTGCCAAACAGGACAGAGGGGCTGAATGGCACCCTGTTGTTTGTAACCTTCCGTAAGTTCTTATAGGCGCTGCTAGTGTTTCCCAAAGTGAGCTATGATTGACAAAATGATGGAATAAAGCCTCTATCTAATGTGCCAGAATTTTCACCCAGCAGTATTGAAGTTTATTTGTGTACCACTGACATCATATCTTTAGAAGACACATTTTAGCAACCACATTTAAAGGGAAGCTGTGCTCTTTACATTCCTGTAAGTCGATAACCCCAGCAGGACTCTGTACATTATTGCATTGATTATCAGTATTAAAGAGACACAGAAATCAGAGTGTTGAGCTGACAAGACTAACACACACATCGCTAATGGGGCTATCAGGAAGAGCAGAGATATGGGCCTGAAGGAAACATTATTGCTTTAGAAGACTTCTTGATAGTTTTGTTTTATTTCTTTGTTGCCTTTAATTTCATTTTAGTTACCTAAAAGAAAGTCATTTTCTTCATCTGAAACACTATCACTACTATGCCGCAAGATACATTTTGATGTTTATCCTTAAACTATTAAATGCATTGCTTGTTATTTTTTATTGCTTTTGTATTATAATAATTCCTTATTACTTGAATACTACTGAACTGTAATTCCGATGGTACTGTAATTTGCGTATTCTTACACAAAGCCATACCTGTCATTCAAAGCATAAGTTAACAGATGCTGGCATATTTTTGCCTGCAACTGGGCAGAAAACTGGGCACAATTTTGAACTAAAATATTTTTTCAGTGGGTTTGTTTTCTTTGTGTCTTAAAAACTTTATTTTAACTTTATTTTACAAGTTGAATCCCCAGGAGTTTTCAGTTTAAAGAAATCTATATGTAATAGCCCAAATCAAGTGTGCTGTTCACTCTAGGTAGCTTAAAATAACATTTTAATTTACAATTTCTTGCAAAAGAAAATATCCAAATGGGACAAAAAGAACTTTAAAAATCTCGCCAGGCTCAGGGTCGTATATTTAAGCTGGCAGTCCCTAATTTATACACCGCTATGCCAAAATGAAATGATCTGAAAAGAGAGGGGGAA